AATAATTTATCCACCGAATAACTGATGATAGTTGATTTTTATTACCATCTATCTTTTTGTATCAAGAAATGTAGCATGATGTCAAAAATACTGTTAATTCACACAATTTATTATTAGTGTCTGACATTTTAATACAAGGATACAGATGTTAGGTAATGTTAATTAGCGATTCTGGTTAGATAGTTCATAGGCTGTTAAAAATGTCAAGTTAACCAACTACAAGTGAATGGTATAGAACGCTATATTTTCAAAAGATTCATATGATGTAATATTTACCTCAGATTAAGCTTTGACTAGGCGGAGAGTATTTCCAAAAATAAGTGTGAATATATTATAAATATCCATGACTGATATCATTTTGGATGTTGGCAACTAGCAATGGAATCTACAAAGGAAGTCTCCTGCTTTTCGGGACTCCTCAGCTTTAAATACTCACACTCAACAGTGAGCTATGTTTCAGCTGAGGCTAGAACTCACTCACTTTTAGTGTGCCAAAGGAATGGTAGTGTCGACATCACTTACTGAGAATCCAAGTAGATTTATTTTACAAATACTAAATAAGAGAAGAAGTGTATCTTGCACTTGATGACTAACCATCGCCAACCATTCGGAATCATTTCCTCCTCAAGAGATAGCTAAAGTAATCCGTACTAGGAGCTGACATGTCAAAAGAAAGCAAGAATTTCTGTTCAGTATGGTCAATCAATTTGAGTCTCAAAATAGCCTCAAAAAATATCTGTGACAAAAGTAAACGAAATTCTTTTTAGAATGTCTCAGTAGTTTTTGATTTAAATTTTAAAATCAAGGGCTAGAATCAGTTCAGTGTTCTACCAGCAGAACAGTATAGAATGCATAATGAATGATCTTCGATACTTTGAATTGATAGAATAAGATGTAGATTTCGCCTGCATTGATTACATTTGATCAAACTGATTCAGTATATTCAAGTATTGCTTTATAGGCATTTGAGCCATTGGTTACAGGAATCCATCATCAGCTGACATCGTCTAGAGAACCACTGGAAAACCTAGGAGTACTGGACAGCTGTTTCATCCTAGTTTGGGACTCTTCACAGTACACACTCACCCATGGGGTTCGAACCCAGGTCATTCTGGTTACAAGTTGAGCGCGTAGACCATTAAGCCACCGGCACCTGATCCAATGGCCAATGATTTCCAACTTCTGACAGTTCACGACACAGCGCAACCACTAGCCAATGTCTTCAACGAGTATTCATCTTCACACCCGACCTTCTGTACTCTACTAGTCATGACTTCACACTAAAATCTTAGGTAACTGCATGAATAGGGTGAGGCGCCAGTGGGCATTAGATCAATTTACAAGTACTGGTTTGTAGGGATTTTGTTTGATTGTTTTTCCAACATTAGCATATGTTGATACAGGGGTTCTGTAGACTGAAAACGATTTTGTTAAGGTAAAAGTATTTATGTTCCGATAATTATTGTCCAATTTCTGAGTTAACAGTTTTCAGAGTTATACTGGATTATAGGTGGTGGCCAGCTGATAGCTGTCGACAACGACCTCGCCTTCATAAGGTGTTATAATATTATTATTACCTCTTAGGGTTCCAAATCAAACATTGGGCCTCAGCTTCACACTACCATTTTATTGTGTTCTGTGATATCTCTTCCGGCTGGTTTCACGACTACCCGCGAGCCTTTATTTGCCCCTAACATGATCTTCTCCATAATGTCCTTGAAAGCTCAAATCGTTGGGTCGTCTCATTTCGGTGCCACTAAAAGGTCTGACTCATGGTTTTGCTCAGAGGCCTCCTCAGTGTATGTCTTATCCACCTACACTAGGCAGCGAAGCAAGCTGAAGGAAAACTGCAACATGTTCTATGTTTTTGACGCTGATATGATAAGCTGCATATGGGATAAGAAATCTGACATCTTATTTATTGTCTTTTGGCGAAATTATTGAATATTAAAATTCATGAGAATGAGTTGCACTCATTCATTAGTTATATTGTTATGCTATTACCCTTGAATTAGTTGTGACATTTTCAACAAGATTAGTTAGCTGAATTTAAAGCAAAAAGCCCAGTGGCTGTTTTTATCATGTTAAAGCGAATGTGCAGCCAAGATTGACTATTCTTATTCATCCCTATTTAATTATTTCTTCTAGTTGAATGCTCATATTTTAAAAGTTTGCTCCGCGTATGTGAAGAGAAAAACCACATACTGCTTACTGTGCATTCGAAAATATTGTTTTCCCTAATAAACAAATCTGAAAACAAAAAGTGAACAGATTATTGTCATTTTTTCTCGGAATTTTTCTCCTCTTCCATTAAAAATGGTTAATTTCAACTGTGCTTATGAGAGTAAACAGGAAGCAACAGTAACTGTAATACCGCATGCAAAAACTCAGCCTGCATCAATGTTGTATTCAAGCTACTGTAGTAACTGATAGCTCAAATGCGTGTTTTAAATAAATAATGTCTTTAAATGATGGCATCTAGTATAATATGTTAGTCACTTTTTTCATCGATTAAACGAAAGCGGTTTTTTATGCTGATTTAAGATGAATAATGAAAAGACAAGGTTTACAGAGTAAATTGCTGGTAGAATTCTCGCCAACCATGATTATAATCCAGGTTTGACTCCCGGCCGACACACTACTAATCCTCGCTTAACAGGTAGCGAGGCTGATAAAGCGGGAAGGTTGGGCGTGAGGCTATCATTCCCCTCCCGCTAGATAAAATCGTAGCTACTGAAACTTCATAGCTGAAGCCTGTAACCCTATTTTACACATGGAACGCATAGGAATATAAAATAGATGCCATATGATTTTAGATGCATATTGAGTATTATCATTTGATACCAGAATAATTTGTATTCCATTTTATGATTATTTATCAAAGTATCACTGAAAAAATATTTAGTCGACAAATGAGATACTCGATCACTTCAGATGAAATTAACTAACAGGTCAGCTTCAAGAAAAATGACTTAGTTTAACGCAGTCAGAATGAAATCACCTGTAGTTTTAGTAAGCCCATACTATTAGTAAGAATGTGCTTTGCTGCACCAGTACTGTGCAGTACAACAACTTTCAATAGGTTGCGAGCTCTGAATCTACTGAACATTGAATTTTTTATATAAAGACTGTTAACATACACCAACAAATTAGTGGAAGTGAAATTACTGCTCATACTTTGAAATAATGAAGAAGATTTGTAGCATAAGTAGATGCTTTTGAAGTTGTGTTCTTTGATCTTTATGGTCTAATTATGACGATTTTTTATCTTCCAAGATTACACCTTCAGTGCTGACTTCAATCTGAAGTCACTTAGGATTAAAAGCTCCTCAATTAAACCATCCAGTTCAGAGAACGAAACAGTAGGGAAAATTAACCATACTTTTTGTATGTAGAACTGTGGCGTGAGTTAACTTTTTATACTTGTGAGACGTGAAAAAGTCCAAGTGTTTATGCGACCCAGGAACACCTTAGGCAAAAAACATTACTCACTCAGTAGGAATATCTTGTCTTCATTATTTGAAAGTACGACTTCTGTTTTATCTACCAATGAAAATAATGACAAATAAAATTTCTAAAAATTACTATTTTGATTGCCGATATAGGTAAATATAACAGTAGCAGTCATTCGGATACGTCTTTTTCAAATCAAGTAGAATGCAACTTTGAAGATGGAATAGCCCACTATTTTTAATACTCTTGATAATATTAAGATTTAAATACATCTGTTTAGTATTCTTGATGAACTGATAAAATACAAGGCAATGCTAGAACATATTCACAACACTTTCTTTCTTGAGCTATATTTGTTTCTAGTAAGCTTTCTTTTCGAAATCACATGAAAGAAGATATCCCCATGTAAAATATACGCTGACTACTGACATTTATTTGATGGAAATTGTCTCGAAACACAAAAAGTTGAGTAAATTTCTTTAAAAAAGTAGAATTATAAACATTGTTGAGTGAAGATTCAAAAACTAATTAATATTTACGAGGAACCGTAAATATACAATCACTCTGCAAAGAGATGAGTATTACATAGTATCAATTTTTAAAATGCACTATTATGAAGTAATGTATTGTAACGAAATGTTGTTCTGCCTTAGTCCTATTTATTTATGAGACTTACAAACAGATTTTTCAAGTAATATTACGGACTGACATCAGTTACGGCGACAGTGAAAATCAGGAAGCATTGGAGAGCTGTTTAGTGTTAGTTTGGGACTCTTCTCCAGTACACACTCACCGGAGACCAAACACAACACTTGAAAATTAGTCAAACACTTACTGGTGGCTGACTTCTTGATGAAGCTGTCTGAGGTTCTAGTCAGAAACCGTAATTACGGGGCGTTTACTAAGTCAAGTACCAAGACAGATGCTCCCCGATGGTATTGCCTAGTGATGGTGTTATATGTTAAAAATGGGAGAAGGTAGAAATTATGAAGCGTTCTGTTCTATCATAATGATGGAGTAATCAAGTGGTTTGTTTCGTAGCCTGAAAATCCTTGATTCGGCATGTGTCTATGGATGGTGTTTTCATGCTGATGAAGATGGTATCCACTACTTCCTGGCATGCAGTAGTTTTTTAAATGGTCACAACCTATTGTCTAAATTGAAATCCGTAAAATCTCTGAAAAACAACACTTAAATATTTTCATTTGACAAAGCTTTTCATGGATTAATTGTTTTGAAGCTGTAATGATATTTCCTCATACGTTGCTTTTATTTTCCTATCGATTAAATATCCCGTAATTGTATTCATTGGTTCAGTGTCACATGATCACCGATTCCTTACATAAAGCTACCGGTTAATGATTTTATTATTTTATTATAAGTATTCTAGAATTTTCAAATTAATTTAAACAAATTACACGTCGAATCTACTTTAAAAAAAATAATATTAAAGCAGCAGGAAGTCCACACTGACTTTGTGTATGTGCGCATATTTATATATTTTCTGAGAAGTAATGCATTTCTCTTTTTGATTTTTGAAATTTTAGGAGGTTGGGAGTATTATCGGTAAAGTAAGTCATTCTTCCCTTTAATCAGACGCTTTTTAATGAACTTTTGTATTAAGTTTAAAAACAAAATAAAGAAAATAGTAGAACCTGATGGTATTTGTATAGCAGTTGGCAGCAGTACAGTCCAGGATGCACACTTAGTCTCTCTTTAGATTCAGTAACGTGATATGCCTGCTCCCTAGCCAATGAGGATGTCCCCATTGATACTAGAAATCAGCAAGCGTCACTTCACATGCCAAATCTTTGTTTGCGGGGTCAATGGCTGAAAAGTGACAAACAGAACGAAATATGCATCCTGGAGTCCACTGCTAGCTACCACCAAGTGAATAATATATTATTCATCATACATTGTCGGAGTATACGTACTAAGAGTTAACATGTCAGTATTGACCGAACATATTGCTCCAATGTAATCAATCATTGATGAATACAAGCTAAGCTAAACAAATAGTAACCCTTGTTATTAATTAACTCGGTTGCTTAACTATTCAGTACTATACTATATATGGCTTTAAACTTTTATGACTATGCAAATAGTATTTCATCGGAACATTGGTTTCAGCAAAACGCCCAACATTTTCATCCCAAAGGTAACAAGTTACGGTCGGCCGCAGAGTCAAGGTTGCTTTTTGTGATCTCTTCTCTCTTAGCACGAGAAATTTTACAACAATTATTAGACCTCATTTCACTTGAAACAAAACTGAAAATTACAATGTATTTTTTCAAGTGTTAGTTTGTAGGGATTTGATTGATTTCAGAATTGATTAGGAAATGACTTCAGCTACAGGACCACTGAAAGCCAGAGATCGAACCCAGTACCTTCAGATTACAGAGGTTGCTCGTTGACTACGTAGCCACTGGTAGGGTTTTGGATGAGTACTGACTGAGAGTCAGAAACAGGAAAGAAATAGCTGTCCAGTACCTTCTGGCTCTCAATGGTTCTCTAAATCAAGTCAGTCCATGATCAATCTTTGAATACTGTGTTCGTTGAAAGTACAAGTCTGTGCCGCATATGTTTCTTTATCCGCATCGACGTCCAGAGTGCAACTGATAATAAATGCTAACACGGTTTATGCTGTAGAATAATTTATCAAAATAAAAGACCGTTTGTATTGAAATTAGGCAGTAAGTAAGGACACATGGAAGGTACAAACAACATTATGGAAGGCTATTAATACATATTTTGAAAAATAAATCACTTTCAAACTTCAAAAGTCACATTTTAACAAATAAACAAAACAGCAACAAAGTATTATTATGATCTATGTTCAACAGTGTTTGCCCGTCACAAGCGTTGGCAGGTTATTTATAATGCTGAATAAAGATAGTATCTTTAAATACTATGGTTTTAAGGCATACACGAACAATCAAAAGGACAAACAAATTAATCACATTAGGTGTGAACATTACTGATGACTGATGAGGTGGTTACTTCAAATATTCCAGATGGCAATGAATAATAGATTTTTTTTTGATTATTAATTTACAGCTTGATTCCACATTGTATTTTTGGTACAAGTATGGAATTTTCAGCATGGATATCGGTAGCCCAAATTTTGCAGGCCGACCATAGATATCAGGTGTGCGCCGGCGTGGGCTCGAACCCCGGACCATGTGCATGGTCGGTGAGAGTCCTAATCACTGTGCCACCAACGCACAGCAACTATTGTTTCCAATCATTTTGTTTCTTTTTAATACATTGTCAACATATGGTAAGTTTCAATCTATAAATCCAAGAGAAAATAGAAATCTATCTTGTTTATCTACACTCCGTTTTGTTCTTAGTCATAGTACGAGGAGGATGTTAATTATTGTCGTCACCATATGACTGGTCATGTACTGATTTTGCCGACTGAACTTAATGAATAAATGGAACCAGTATCAGTTTAATCCACTGAAGACGAGTTCATTTACCCTCCCCCTCCCACATTATCTTCTCACTAATTCCTTACGCGTATATGTTAACTTAATAAGGTTAATGATTACTCATATCAAAGTTCGACTGGTGAAGCTTGTGTGTAGATAGAAAGGTGTCATTGTGATGTATGTTGACCGAATATGAAATGAAAATGTTGACTATGGTAAGATTGTAATCAGTGGCCTTCGACTTCCTTACCCATCACTCTACAAGTTGAGATAGGAGACCGAACTATTATCCAGATCATTATTCTACTAAATTCTTCAAAGGCGGTGCACAGCATTCGTGTGTATAGTCATACGTATAATCATCATATCAGCTGCCTACTTAGGTCTCCCCTTTTCAATCACAATTTTGTTGAATAAGACGCAAAGGAGTAGATCGGTAATTGATGGTGAAACTGTTCCAAATAATCTTAGGTTGGAGGATAACTGAAAGTTAAATTAACAGTTCGGTTTGTGAGGGATTCAAGCAAACGGCTTCCAAATAACCAGTCCAGTTGAGTTGTGAGTTTATTCTGAGCTCTAGTCTTTAATTGTAGTCAATTCATAAATAGACTAGCTACTCCTGTCAGGCTATATGTCTTCAGATGACTAAGAAAAGAAGCGATTATAATGAATAAAGTTAAAAGTTTCAATACAAAAAGATCTAGAGAATAAGAGGGCTTTTTGCATCATATACAGTAGGCTGTCTGTCATAATCATAAGAGTTTGAAATTTCTGTCTAATCAATCAATCAATCCATGACACACAAAATAGAATGGTTATTTTGGGGGAATATATATATATGACTGATATAACCCTGGATTCAGATTATTTAACCAGGGTATAAGTTACTAAAACGATTTTTGCGAGACTTCTTTCAGTTGACCTGCCATATATATATATATATATATATATATATAACTTCTGTTCCGTTTTGTCGTGTAGTCAACTACTGTGTGAATCATTTTCATAAAATGAGGTTAAATATGAATATCCCCTGAATTTATGTCAGTTATTTAGTTGGTTAGTTCTCTTTTTTAATCATGAATACTATACATTTCAGTTTTGCTGTATTTTGATTGACAGTGTTTCAGTGTTTAAGATTTTGTCATAGAAAAACAAGATGACACATCCAGTCGAATAGCCCTATTTACTTGGCTGTATTTTAGATAATTAGGATTTTAAAAAAGCGTTAGTTTTCAGAGGCAAGATGTTGTAGCCACTGAACATTTATCTCAGTGAGCTAGATAAGCTAATGAGGCAAAAAATTAAATAACATTTGGAGTGGATTTTGCTTCCACTACATGAGTGACTAACTGAGTTCCAACCTATTATTTTTGCACAGAACTGTAGCAGTTCTAGTTACCGTACACTATGCAACACACAAAAGTAGAAGAAAAAAAGAAATTAAAAAAGACAATAAACATAATAAAGATACGGGGGATATAATAGTAACACTGAAAAAATAGTACCCAGTGGACTTGGACGATGATAAAATGTAAATGTATCTGCACCACTGAGAACTAATTCGTGTGAAATCACCAATAGTCTCAAACCATCGGTTCTTAGCCTGGCAAAGATCCCAGCTGGACAGTCTACACCTTTCTATGTGGAAGGTGCTCACTCGCACATAATGAAATATGGAACACTCCATGTTTGCAAAAATCAAGATGCATGAAAGAGATATCAGACAGTTTCTGAAGACATTATCAATTAAAAAATTAGTGTTCAGATTTTGGTGCTTTTACGTTACGAAATAAAATCGAGAATGGTAGCGCTTTGTGCACAAGAAGTGGTTTTGTGGACGAACAATTTAGTAGTTAACATTTTGACATTCGAAGCCATGGGTGCAGAGATGAGTTTTCACTGAAAACACCATCAATCATCCAGACGATCAGACATAAATAGGAAGAAGCACGCATCGTGGATTCTACTCTTATTAGCCATTAAACAGTTAAATTTGAACAGTTAGTTTTCATTCTAGCATCTGAACTTGAACTTTTTATGCCGGTGAGAATATAACTTTACTGTTTCAAAGAATGAATGAATTGTACACCTGGTAACAAAACAATGTTTCCAGTTAAAATATAGTAACAATGGTTTAACTCCGTTATTGAATGGAGTGTAGTTTCATTATTAGTAGAAATTCGTCAGAAAACAAAAGAGCAGCTGTTAAAAACTTGATAAGAAAATGAGAAAACAATTCACTGAGAATGAAAATGAATTAAATAAGAGCTGAAAACATATTTGAAAGTGGTGTATCCTCAAGACAGACTGATGTCGCGTTCATTAAGTTGTTATATTTTATTACTTTTAGAGCAATCAGTTGAACAGCATAAAGTCACGCAAATACTGATTTCTACATACACACAATCAGTGATGCAGTAATAAATAACTGAATGGTATTTTGAATACAGCTGATTACTCGTATCAGTGTAATCACATAACTTACACTAATTTACTTTATGCAGATACACCCTCTTTTTTCTTAATGCAATTTTTTGTATATTCGAGACGAGTATTTGACCATTTATTTGAAAATTAGGTAGCTTAGGGATTTAAGCAAGCCACAACCAAATTGCTATGTTAATATGAATTGTTATTTCTCAACACAAAATATGATGCTCACTGAATCTATGATATTCAATGCACCAGTATCAACAGCTAATGGGATCCTTAAACGGCAGTAATATGTCATTCATTCACACAAGATCTCAGTGCCACCCAAGTTGAATGAGGGGGAGTGTAGACCAGATCAGTGTTTGGGCGTCGTGGCCGAGCTGGTAGGTTCTTGGGTGAGTAATCCAGGAGCTGCGAATAAAAATTTCCCTTTACAACTCGCTTATCATCCATTACATGAAGCAACATTGTATATGTGAAATTAGCATGAACAACAAGTTGAAAATACTTATTTCTTTCTGTACATTTTTTGAGATTATTTATATCCTTTAAATCTGTTTCTAATTATGATTTTGCTTTTATATGGTTTGTTTTTTAATTTAACTGCCTATCATAGTGATTTATCAGCCGTATTTTCTGCAATCCTAATAGTAATATCTAACTAATCGGATACTCGCTCACTCAACAAGAATTGCATAAGT